TCCCCATGAGGCCATAGGTGCAGACTGGGAGAGGGAAGATAATGTAACTGGAGTGGAGACCATAGGCATTTGGGCCACTTCCTCATGCAACTTAATTGTGCCTTCAGGTCCTGCTCAAGCCTGATCTCTGATATGCCACTTCCATTTAATGATGGAGTGCTGCTGTGCATGTCTAACTTTATGACTCTATCAGTCTGACATTATAGATTTTTGGCAATGTAGTGGGGTCCTTCTTCAAAGGGACCTGGCCTCCCCTTTATTCAAGGGGTTGTGAGTCTGTAAACTGACTCAAGTCTGGGAATTGATTGAGAGGTCATGACTGGGTATTCTGGCAATTCAATCTAGGTTGATGTTCATGTGACCTAGAATTCTTCTGTCTATACAGATCAAGTAAATATTTAGTAGGCTTGCCATGTATTTCTCTACTAGGAACACCATGAGCAGGTAGCCAATGCCATAATTCCACACGAGTCAGGCTGTTCTGATTAGTGTTCCGACCCTGCTGTCCATTATGGTAACCATGTCCACCTTACCTTTGTCGATTAACTGCTGACACTTGGCCCCTACTACCACATGGTCCAATCAACCCCATCATAGTTAATTGTCTTAGTTCAATTAGGGCAGTTCCCACTGTCAAATCAGGTTTACATAAAATAGCAATCACAACAGTCTTCAAGGATGCTGGACCTCCCTTCACAAATTTATTCCTCACGGTACTGGTGAAAGGCATGTCTTCTGGACTCTCCATTTCTGGCTTTAGGGGCCTAATCTGATAAATCCATTCTAACAGATCAATTTCCCTAAGCTTCTGGATACTTTTTTTCTACATTATACTAAGGTAGGTCTGATACTTCAGCTGACTTAAGGTAGGCCACCGCATAATCCATGCTTCAGTAAGCCAACCGAATAAACTATTAGATCCTTTCTTAACCTCTCAACCTGAAACATTGAATGAAGAGTCTGTACTTAGTGGGCCTAAATCAATAAACTCAGACTGATCCAATCTTACTTTCCTTGTACCATTATCCCACACCCTCAGTAGCCATTCCCATACATATTCTCCAGGTTTCTGTCTGTACATGTTAGCAAAATCAAGTAGGTCTTTTTGGGTGTAGTGTACGACCACCTCAGTCCACTTTCTGTTTCACCTTTTAGGGCTCACTTGGACTTAACTTTAGTTATAGGTCTAGCAGCAACAGTGTGTGGTTGAGCCAGTTCCTGAGAACATTCAGGAATGTCTTCCATGGCCTCTGCCTCAGGCAATGACCCAGCAGGACCAGTTTGGCTAATCCCATCAAACTGAGGGGGAGGGGATAATGGTTTTATAGTAATCTATTCAGATAGGAGGGATTCAACAGAATTTACAGGCTCCATATCCTTGTCTTCCTGACTATCTGTCTATATGTCTCCATTCCAGGTTTCAGGATTCCATTTTTTCCCAATCAATGCCCTCACTTTAACGTCAGACACCATTGTGGGTTGGCAATTCAATTGGCGTTGTAATTCACCCACCCTTACAATAAGACTCTGGG